TCTTGATCATGGTTTTCCCGTCAAGGCTGCGAACTGCAAATTGTGGTTCTCCACTCTCAGGCGGATGTGTGCGAACCACCCAGCATAGGAGGACGTCGGACTACGTTTTGACATCATTTTCCTACGCAGATAGTAAGCAATGGAGAAACGATTCCAGGCAGCCGCAGTGAGATCTGATTTAACTTGTGTGGAAGGTGGGACTTCTGGCCATGTTATTTCAGGCCTGCTCCCTGGGAGGAGGATCAAGCTGGTGCACCACGCCGTGATCCCGCTGACACGTGTGAGCTTGAGTGACGAGCGCGCCCCTTCCGGGGACTGTTCCCACATGAGAGTGCCTGGGAGCTCACCTGCGCAGCATGCCTGTCAGTCTCGCTGTGAGAGATCCTGTCCCCATTAATGTCCTATTTAATTACTGTATTATTAATGAGTGATATAATAAATATAACTTCCAGGTGTGCAGCTAACTTTTACATTTTTCTCAATTCAAAAATATTTCCATCCTATAAATTGGTTCTTATTTGACTCATCTACTTTTTTTTCTGTTTTTTTGAAACCGAGTTTGCTCTGGGGGGGTAAGAGGTGCAGTGCTCCATCGTAGCTCACTGCAGTCATCCAAACTCCTGGCTCAAGTGATCTTCCTTAGCTCCAAAGTGGAATACAGCGCGCAGGCCACCATTGCCGCTAATTTTCTATTTTAGTAGAGAAGGTCCCCATGCCGGCTGGCCTCGAACTCCTGACCTCAGAATCCCTCCCTCTTCAGCCTTCCAGTGGCTGGATTACAGATGTGAACCCCACCAGTCTCATCCCTTTTTTGGGTGGTTTTTTTTTTTTTTTTGAGCAAAACTGCCAGAATCTCATCCAGTTTAATGCAACCCTAAAGTTAAATTGTAGATGAATTTTGGAAGCAGAAACATTGATAGAAATTTTATTCGGAGATTTAGTTTCTAATCTTCATAACTTAATATGACATTCAAAATCTTAATAATGTACAAATAGTTTTGTGGACTATGTTCCATCTTTACTATATATACTTAACTAATATAGTAAAAATTAGCCAGCATGGTGGTGCATGCCTGTATCCAGCTACTTGGGAGGCTGAGGCAGGTGAGGATCCTTGAGCCCAGGAGTTTGAGTGTGCTGGCTACGGCTGATGCAGGCACTCACTCTTAGCCTGTGCACCAGAAGGTGGACTCTGTCTCTAAAAAAAAAAAAAAACAAAAACCACACATTGGAGAGTGCTGCGAAAAACTGAACAGTCACCATACAAAGAATTGAAATTGATCCCTATGCTTTGCCAGAATTATCAAGATTGGATTAAGACTTAATGTAAGGCTTGAAACATACCATTCTAGAGGGAAAAATAGGGAAAATTCTTTCTAGATTTACCTAGGCAAAAATTGTGATGTAAGACCTGAAAGCAAATATAGCAAAAAAATAGTAAATGGGAACTAAGTAAAATAAAAGTTCGCACAGCAAAAGAATTCACAAGGTTAGCGAACAGCTACAGATGGGAGAAATATGCTGAATTTTTAAAGTTGGGTTGTTTCTATTGAAGTTTGAGAAGTTCTATATTTATCCTGGATATATGTCTTTATCTGTACATGTTTTGTAATATTTCCCGTTTACAGCGATCTTTCTGTATTACATTGTCTTTCAGAAGATAGTTTTAAATTTGATGAATTCACAATTTATTAGTTTCTTTTCGATTGTTACTTTGGGTCTATATAAGTGGTCTTTGCTATATGAAAGTTACAAAGATTTTCTCCTTGTGTTTCCTTCTAGAAGTTTTATATTTTAAGTTTTCGTCTGAGTCAATGATCATTTCTAGTTAATTTAGTGCGGTCGTGTGAGAGGTGTTAGTTGCTGAGGCTCTTTTTTGCATGTGGGTGTCAGTTATTAATGTGGATCATGTGTTGGAATTTTCATTTGTGAAGATAGTTTGGTGGGCATACATTCTGGTTCATAGTTCTTTTCTTCTTTTGTTTTCTGTGTTTCTACTAGACGTCCGTGGTTCTAGTGAGACAAACGGTTTAATCGGACGTGGATAGGCTGTTACTGTTTAGTGTCGTGTATGTTACACAAGCATATCTCAAGGATGAGACATGATAAGATGGTTTGAAACTCCTTTCCCTATGGCTAAACTGACTGTAGGTATTTGGGGGATCCCTGGCAGAGGGTCATTCAGTGGCTAGGGCTTAGGGTTTTGTTTTAGTACGTGGCC